CATTTTCATCCTTTAGTGATGGCAGCTGTCACCTGTAGGGCTGTCACCTGTAGGAGTGTCACCCATGGGGCTATCACCCATAACATTGTCACCTGTAGGGCTGTTACTGTAGGACTGTGACCTGTAGGACTGTCACCCATGGGGCTATCACCCATAACATTGTCACCTGTAGGACTGTCACCCATGGGGCTATCACCCATAACATTGTCACCTGTAGGAGTGTTACTGTGGGGCTATCACCCATAACATTGTCACCTGTAGGGCTGTTACTGTGGGGCTATCACCCATAGGGTGTCACCTGTAGGATTGTCATCTATAGGGCTGTCACTTTTTTTTAGGGCTGTAACCTATAGGGCTGTGACCTGTAGGACTGTTACCCATGGGACTGTCACCCATAACATTGTCACCTGTAGGGCTGTTACTGTGGGGCTATCACCCATAGGGTGTCACCTCTAGGATTGTCATCTATAGGGCTGTCACCTCTAGGGCCGTAACCTATAGGGCTGTGACCTGTAGGACTGTTACCCATGGGACTGTCACCCATAACATTATCACCGGTAGGACTCTCACTCATGGGGCTGTCATCCATGGGGCTATCACCTGTAGGCCTGTTACTGTGGGGCTGTCACCCATAGGGTGTCACCTGTAGGGCTGTCATCTGTAGGACTGTCACCTGTAGGGCTGTGACCTGTGGGACTGTGACCTGTAGGACTGTCACCCATGGATCTTTCACGCATAACATTGTCACCTGTAGGGTTGTTACTGTGGGGCTGTCACCCATAGGGTGTCACCTGTAGGACTGTCATCTGTAGGGCTGTCACCCATAGGGCTGTCACTCATGGGACTATCACCCATAGGGTGTCACCTGTAGGGCTGTCACCCATGGGGCTGTCACCCATAGGCTGTCACCCCTGAACTGTCACCCATAGGATTGTCACCCATAGGATTGTCACCTTAAGGCTATCACCTCTAGGACTGCCATCGGCAGGCCTGTCACCCTCAGGGTTGTCACTTGTAGGGTGTCACCTGTCCATTTCCCCCATGACCAATCCAGGGTGCTCAGATCTTGGCTCAGATATTCTGGAATTTGTCCCAGTGACACCTCCAAACCAGTGCCCTGCTCATGGGTTTATTCTGAGTCCTGCTCCTGGTTTCCAGATCCAATTTAACATTTTTCTCCACCCTATCTTTTAATATCTTACTAATTTTAACTGTGTTGACAACTGGTCTTTGTCTGCTTGGCTTTTTCTTTTTTATTGTCTTGGTTCCTTATTTCTAATTTCCATTCCTCTTTGTGACAGGCAGAGGCAGAGGGGACAGTCTGAGCTATTAATACTTCCAGAGAGAAGTGCACTGTGGTATTTGTGGAAATCTCTATTTCTAGTGAAAAAAAAAAGTCACAGGCGAATGCTTCTGTGAGACCATCAGTAATGATAAAACAGAAGTAAATTTAAAAATAGGCTCTTGTGAGGACTTGGTGCCGGCTGAGCCTTTTAATAACACTTCTTACAATAATTTCAACAATTCTAAGTGGATTGTAAATAATAAAATCTGAAGTTCTTTCAGCTTGACGAGAAGAAGAAGACCTGAAATGCTCTGAAAGTATCCGACACCTACAGGTCTTGATCCTGATGTGTGATGGAAAAACACACTCGGTTTTTCCAGTCAGGGRTACCAGTCCAGTCCTGAGCAATCCCTCCAAAACACTTTAACTGTTTCTCCTGTTTGTTTCCCCTTCCTTCCTCCAGTCCCCAGAATTCCCACAGCACTACAGAACATCTCTCAAACAGAATCATGAARAGATTCCCCGATRTCCCTCTGGAAAATATTGTGTCATSCTCTTTTCAACCAATYCTGCTGACAGATCATGAGCTTTTGGTGTTCCTCCTCCCTTCCTGGGTGCCCCTGGAATAAGTACAATGAATATTTTCCAAACTAATTCCAGTTTTTGGGACAAGTTTCTGTGCTCCCACAGCCCAAGTCTTTTGCCTTTCCCCCACACTCCTGTGAGGATGTGGGACCCCCAAAGTGCTGCAGAGAGCCCCAGTTGGAACCTGGACTTGGGTTCTCATTTCAGAGGGACATTCCTTYCCAAATGGAAATACCCAAGTGCCCRGGATTTCTGAGCTGTGCCCTTCACTGGGTTTGATTTCCCCTCCCTTGAGCCCTGCCTGGGGTCATTTGCATCTATGTAAATCCCATTTGCAAATGCAAACACCCAGGATTTTGCAATTTCACATTGCACACAGGACTTGTCTCATCGGTGCTTCCTGTTCTGACTCAAAAGGGTCCCTGTGAGGAAATCTGGGAACACTGGGATCACCTGTGGTCCATTGGTAAAGAAAGGGAAAAGGGAAAACTCTGAGGATGGAGMCTGAGAATGTAGACACTGAGCTTTGCTCCAATCCTTCCCCCTTTACCTGAACCCCAAACCACGGTTCTTACCTGACAAGAAGACCAAGGTGAGGTGCAGCAGCTTCTCCATGGAGCTGAGCAGGGAAGGGACAGGAGAGGAGCCTGGAGGAGCAGAGAGACTTTGGCTCTGCCCCTGGGCAGCTCCTCTCCCCCTCCGTGCCGGAAGGAAGGAGCACAGGAACTTGGCATCTTTTTCATCTGCACATTGAGCAATTCTCCAGGGCTGAAAAATTCAGGCATCAGCATTGCCCAGTGCCAGCCACAGCTCGGGCTGGGCAGCCTGGAAAAAAGGGAGCACCACGTGGTGGCCCGAAGCCACGGGGCTGGGTGGCGGCTCCCACTGCAGCAGGAGTTCATGGAATCGTGGAATCACAGGATGGTTTGGGTTGGAAGGACCTTAAAGATCATCCAGTGCCAMCTCTGCCATGAGCAGGGACAGCTTTCACCACCCCAGGGTGTTCCAGTCTGGCCTTGGACAYTKCCAGGGATCCAGGGGCAGCTACAGCTTCTCTGGACACCCTGGACACAGGGAGGAATTCCTTCCCAATATCCCATCTAACCCTGCCTTCTGGAAGTTTGAAGCCATTCCCCGTGTCCTGCCTCTCCAAGAATGATGCTGAGATCATTTATTAATCATGATTAATGATTTACAGGAGCTGTGCATGGGGGGATCTCTGGAAAGCCGAAAGGGAAAGGGAAAGGGAAAGGGAAAGGGAAAGGGAAAGGGAAAGGGAAAGGGAAAGGGAAAGGGAAAGGGAAAGGGAAAGGGAGGCTCTCCTGGTAGCTCTGGCAGCATCCCACAGGTGAAGGAGGGCAAGGACATCACCCTTCTCCTGGGTTTTCAGGAGAATGAAGAGCCTTTGGAGCATTTCCAGTCTGAAATACAAGCACGGACAGCAGGGCACCTCTGGAAGAAGCTGTGGGTGCTTGGAACAGGCYCAGCACCCACCTGTGTTCTGTACCTGACACAAAGCAACAATTCTGGGGACAAAATTCACAGCCAACCAGTGCCACAGCGCTGAAGAAGTTCAGGAATGCAGTCACAGACCCCCCAGAGCATCAGCAAACTGAGAGGCAGGGGCTGGGCTGCTGCTTTTGCATTTTTGAGCTGATTTATTTACCTGGAGCTCTTCCATGCAAGTACAAACAGACCCAGGCTTCTCAACTGGTGTGGTGCTAAACCCACAGGATTTTCCCTTCCTAAATGTGCCTTTTCTCGAGTTAGTGGTTAAGGAAATGATCCCTCACAGTGACCAGAAATTCTCTGTGAGATGACTGATTGCAGTTTTTGTTCTTTCTTGTTCCAGTGAGCACAAATCTGGATTCTCTTTGAGAATCTCCCAGAAAATGCCTCTCTTCCACTCCACTGTTTTTTGTTATTACTCTTCCACAGCTTGACTCAACTGCACGAAGAGCAAATCATTAGGGGAAAGTTGGGCTGAATGAACCATTTCCAGGACCATTTTCTTTCTCTTTCTGTCAGGTYGACTCTGAAAATCTCAGAAAATTCCATCAGCCTCCCTGCTGCAGAAGAGAARCCTGTTTGGATGTGACTGGCCTGGGAATGAGGGGTGGTCCAGGTCTGTCCCCTCCAGCAGGGCTTGGGACAGGGAAATCAGTACCCAGAGCTCCTGGAGAAATGGAGCTGAGCCCCATAAACTCATTTCGTGTTGTTGCTCACATGACTGCTAAATAAAAAAAATGTCATTTGGAGCATTTCCAGCAGAGATGGGGAAGTGCAGGAGCTGATTCTGCTTTTTCTTAAAATCCAGCACTCACATCCCCRAGCCATTCCATGAAAAATGAACCCAGTCACAGCAAGGTTCAAATTTGGAATGAGTTTTCTTGGCCACAGCAGCGGGATCTTTGGGATTGGGGCAGGGTTTGGACCAGGACATAGCTGGAATACCCCTCCCAGCCATGTCCAAACTTCTCCTTTCCAAAAGGCCAGGCCTCCACACCCGCCCCTCCAAAACTCTGCACTTTAATGGAATTGGAAAAGCAGTTGTACAAGAGATGGTGGGAATTGCCCCACAGCTCTGTCTGACCCGAGAAAACAAAACCTCTGCGAGCAGGGAGGGCTCAGACAGCCCCAAAATCCAGCAACAAAACTCAGTTCTTCCCCAGTGTCCACACACACACCTTCCACTCCTCATTCCCACTCCGTTTTCCAGTCCCTTTCTCCCATTTCTGGGGTTTTTGGGGATTCTGTGCTCATTCCCTGTCATTCCTTGGGGTCTGGTTGAAGGCAATGACAGCGTATTCCACATTTCGGGGGTTCCTGGGAGCCTGGCTCTGCTCCACGTTGCAGTACAGAGGATCCTCRGGGCTGGGGGAGGATTGCACCTCCAGGTTGATGTATGCCAGAYCTTTGCTGTCATCCTGAGAGCTTTCCCTCCTTCCAGGGCTGCCAGGCTGGGAAAAGCAAAGAAAAACCCTCGTTAGTGTGARTCAGTGCCAGGAGAAGGAGATTTTCCCACAAGGAAAGGAGGAGCTGTGTCAAAATTTTTCTTTGGTCATGACAGAGGGGAAAGAAMAGAAAACTTTTCTTCACCACCTCTCCTTCACACAGGTGACAACCTCATGYTCTCACCCTGTTTACCAGTCCTTGAATCCTCTCTCAGGGGTGACCAGATTTGTTCCACTGGGTTTGTTCCTGCTGGAGTTTCTGTGCATTAATTACCCCATTCTTACTCTAGTCAGGAATATTCTTTTCTCTGCTGACATTTTCTCTCCTGTTTATAACCATAAATACCATTTTCTCTCCTGTTTATAACCAAACTGAGCTCCAAGGTCCTCACAACAGCTCCAACAGCTCCTCCCACACTGCTGCTCAGGGATTTGGTACCACAGTGGGAAATGTTTCATTTTCCTTACCGGCGCTGTGCCCTCTGCTCTGTCATTGGTGTCCTCTGCTTCTCTGTTACCTTTGGGATGAGGCAAAATCAGAGGGTTTAGATGTAGAGAAATCCATGGAAAGCCCCGTGCCTCGGGAAATTTGGGAAAGCTGTGGGATTGCCCAGTGATGGGAGCAGCAGATGTGCTCTGCCCTGAGCTGGCGGAGCACTTTGCTCTCATTTTACTCCTTCTCTGAGGTGTTTACACCCCTGTGAAGGGTCTGAGTTTGATTTCTTGTGAGAGAAGACAGCAGCAAGGAGCCTGACCTTCTCCAGGGTGTTGGGATCAGCTGGGAGTGACAAAGGATGGCAGGGAAGGCTCTTCTTGGGACAACCCCAGCCCCACGTACCTGCTCCCTTCAGGAGCCTGTAGTGCCTGACCCCCAGAGCCACGGAGGTGACGAGGGCCAGGAGGAGCAGGAGCAGCAGCACTGCTGAGAGGATGATGAAGGTGTTCACATTGGAGCTGGAGGAGAGGAAAAGTGTTACCAGTGTGGGATGGATTCAGAACCCATCWCCAAAYAGGGACYGGAACAGGGACMRRRACAGGGA